AAGGAATAGGAGACCATGGTAAATGAAGACCACATGAGAAGGTGAGAAGGGGAGGAAGCAGAGAGCTAGGGAGGCCCACGGAGATCCACAAAGAATTTATTTATTTTGTATGGAAAAGGTACGCACACATGCACACACATTCCATGGGGACTGTGTGGAGCTCAACTTGAAGGAGTCAGTTTTCTCCCACCATGTGGGTCTCAGAGGCTGAACTCAGGCCCTCGGGCATGGTGACTAGTTCCTTAACCCACTGAGCCATCTCAATGGCCCTACTACCCATATTTTAGCATGAAATCCATTGCATTGTTTAGTTACCCAGCCAGGCCTTCGGAAATGGGTGCAAGAGGGAAACTGTTATCAGCAGCATAGGACAACAGAAAGGGCCTGGAAACATTACATGTGGGGTTGCTTAGAGCAAACAGCAGGGATCCAGGGCACCAGAGGATGAGAAAGCTAACCAGGACATGAAGGTGGAAACTAAGTGTCTTAGTTAGGGTTTCTATTGCTGTGGTAAAACCACCACAGCCATAAGCAACCCAGGGAGGAAAGGGTGCATTTCACCTACACTTGCCTGACCACATGTCATGAGTGATCATGCCCCACTCTTTGCACTCAACTAATAACAGCTCATAAAACATGCAGAAATACTGTTCTTACATTTGCTCATTCATGAGGATTGTACATGCGCTGCAGATGGACACTAGAGGAAGACAGACTCAGGAAAGGGGTGTGGGAGGGAGGGCTTCTCTGGCGCCTGTGTGTGGGAGGCACCTGTCACATTCTGTCCCCTCCACTGCCAGCCACTGGTTTTCTAGTTGAGCCTAGATGTAAATGTTTGAGCTTTGAAGTCAGCTGCCTAAATGTGGCTTTTTACTGTTTCTGGGTGAGCTTCCCTGCGGGCATCTGTGTGTGTGACTCTCCAGAACTCTCAGAGCACTGTTCTTCGGAGTTTTCCATGAGTGACTGTGTGCAGACCACTGGAAGAACAGCCCCCTTCCCCTCCCTGAAGGCTGGGAGAGGGACTTAGAGTTCCAACATTCCAATCACTCCTTGTCTTTCCTGGTGGCCAGTCCAATCCCAAAACTACCTAGGGGTCACCAGCCAGCAGTCATGCTGTGTCCAGGGTTTTAGGAACGCAGTGACAGGAAGTGGAGACAAATCAAATATTTATTTCTTGTATCATAATTAGAGGGAGAAAGTAAATGCACTCCTGTTTCTTGGCAGAATCACTCTAGAAAGTCATTATTTTTAGATTTTTACTGAATTTATTTATTTTTATTTTTTTTTTTTTT